AATAAAAATATAAATGTATCACATAATCAATTCATAACATCACATCCCAAGATGAAATATGTAAAAGCTCCTAAAGTGTGTACTGATCAAGACGTCGCCTTCCCACGATCCTCACTAGTACCTGAAACACATAACATAACACTGTAAGCATGAATGGTTAGTGAGTTCCCCCACAATACCACATGCAAACACATATTAGCCACTCGAGGCTATAACTCTATTTGACCCTCTGGTCAATGTGTCTCAGTGGGACCTTCCGGTCCCATAACTTTGATGGGCCCTATGGCCCTAACTCTGTGGACCTTACAGTCCAAACTCTGTAAACTCTGTAACATACATAGCATAAAGCACACAGAAATCTCATCATGCAAAAACATACAAATACTCTATCACATAACTCTAATTACCACTCTAGGTAAAGTATAGTGAAAAGGCTCGCCTCGGGTAACTCGGTAATCTTGAACTCTGTAAAATCTGGTCTAGCCTCTGTCTAATCATATGAAATAAACACTCTAAATCAATACATCTCTCAAGGCTAGACTATTCCCTCTCTTAGTACTCTCAGAAGGGTAAAAGACCATTTTACCCCTCTCATGGCTCCAAGACCCTAAAGTTGACCAAACCCTAAAAGTCAAAAAAAGTCAACTCTACGGGTTACGTTGGGCGTACCCAGTGTCTTCACAGAAACGGGGTGCACGACCCCTTACGGCACGTGTATTGAAATTACGTGTTGCGTAACTCCCAGTTTCAGACTCTAAGCTTTTGGGGTCTTAAACAGTTAAGACCCACATCCAACTTCTATATCTGACCATTTCTAAGCCTCCTAATCCATAAAGTTGGTGACTTTAAGCCTTTGCATGGCTGGAAAAGTCACTATCACCCATAATATTCCATTTCCCAACTCTAGAGAGCTCATAACTCAAGCATGACCTCATATCAACGACCAAGAAGGAAACTTTATGGATCTATAACACAAATACCACTGAAATGGGACAGATCTTGGTCCATGGAGCACATTACACTCATAAAGTCTCCACCTTTGGGACTTTTAACCCTAGAAATGGTCCATGCAACATCAAACCAAATAAAGAGGAAAGTTTTGAACTTTATACCTCTAAATGAAGCTCCTTTCTCTGAAGATCTCAGATCCAACTTTGCACTTTAAGCCCTAGCCTCCACAAGCTCTTCTCCTTCTTCTTCACTAACACACCAAAAAACTCTTAGCTCCAAACACACACACACTCAAGCTATGGACGATGGAAGGCTCTCTCTTAGGGTTTCACTCTCTGATATGGAGGCTGAAAAATTAGCCTTAGCATCCTTTAAATACTGCACAAGCCAAACATTTAGGGTTTGCATCTGGACCCATTACAACCACCGTAACCCTGGGTACACCTAGCGTACCCAGATGAGTCCGCGTCCAAATTAAGCGCATGAGTACGCGCATCGTACCCTCCAGTACGCCCAATGTACTCATTTGCTACAAGAACTCTCTCAAGGGACCAATTTTGACAACTTGAAAAAATGGAAGGGTTTAATAGCTTTAACTGGATTTCAGGATGTTACAATTCTCCACCACTAGAACCAGACTTCGCCCTCGAAGTCTCATGCCGAAAACAGCTCTGGATGCTGCTCCCGCATCTCTGACTCTGTCTCCCAAGTCAGCTCGAACCCATTCCGATGCTACCACTGGATCTGAACCAAAGGCACCTCCTTGTTCCTCAGAACCTTGACCTTCCGGTCCAAGATCGCGATCGGTCTCTCAACATAATTCGGCCCTGAGTACACCTGGATATCCTCTAACGGCACTACCGTTGACTCGTCAGCCATACACTTCCTCAGCTGAGACACGTGGTAGGTATCATGAATCTGGCTCAACTCTGCAGGTAGCTCCAATCGATATGCTACCCTGCCCACCATCGCGATCACCTTGAACGGTCTAATGTATCGGGGCCCCAACTTGCCCCTTTTCCTGAATCGGATCACTCCTTTCCAAGGAGACACTTTCAGAAGTACAAAATCTCTTACCTGAAACTTGAGCTCGGATCATCACCTATCCGCGTAACTCTTCTGGCGACTCTGAGCTATCAACAATCTCTATCTAACCTACTGTATCTGCTCTGTCATCTGAAGTACTAACTCAGTTCTACCCAACACTCGTTTCCCAACCTCTCCCCAACAGATGGGAGTCCAACATCTCAGCCCATACAATAACTCAAAGGG